GGGGGGGCGTGGCGGGGGGGGGGGGCCTTTTTTTCTGCCAAGGGCCACTGGATATATATTTACTTATTTATTTATTTATAAAGACCACAACCCGGGCATGTGCCCTTGACTGGACTCGAACCTGGAACCCTTCAGTCCATAGGCCAATGCTCTATCCACTGAGCCAAACCAGCCAGGGCCCATTTGGATATTTAGAACATCATTCGCAGGCCATACAAAGTTAAAATCAACTTTAAAACTAGCCTGCTCTATTTGGTCAAACATTTAATTAGAACTCACCCCTAATGCCTTGGCAGGGTCTTGTATGGCCCTGGGGCCAGACGCTCCCCACCCCTGCTGATGTCTCGGGGACTGACTGGGGGCGTCTTGCTGAGGCCATGACATTGGCTCTCTCTGGAACGGCCGGGTGCTGGCCTGGAAGGCAGGCGATGCTGCTTAGGGCTGACTGCTAATCGTCTCCCACTGTGCGCAGCCTTGGCCGAAACTTTCCCCTGCTCTCTGGGCCTGTTTCCTCATCTCTGCGGGAAGGAGGAGTGTGGCCCCTCTGTAAAGCCTCATCGCTGTGGGGGGCTAAATCTGTGACCTTCAGCGTTTCATGCAACTGCGAGACCATCTGAGGTCCTTAAACAAGGCCCCTCGCGCTGAAGGTCTGTCTGTCCACACGAGCCACCCCGTCTTCCCATGGCGCCAGGCAGCGGCATGCTCTGTGCTCTGTGTTCCCAGGGTAATTGCCACCCCCCCCTCCATTTTGCTTTGCCTCTAGGAAGAGCACATCTCTATTTTTTTGTTTCTCTATATTTATTGAAATGAGATTAGATTGCAATTAGATGCTAATGTTGCCTCTGGTGTTTAGTAACGTAAGGGGACCATTGCATCAGCTCCCACCCCAGCTGGCCAGCAAGAGCAGTGCAGCGAGTCCGGCAGGCACCGCTCAGGTGGGCCCGCAGGGGACCCTCCGCCTCGATGGGGGACCGGAGGGGGAGGCAGGGCGGCCAGAGGGAGAGGAGGCTTGAATCTTTCTTTCCCTTCCCTGCCATTATTTCCGGGAACTCTCATTGGTGTTTGCTTGTTTCTTACAGCTGGGAGTTGCATAAATGAGAATCATGATCGAATTTGACCGGGTTTTCTCTAATCCACTCACACTCCAGACAGAGAAGAGGCTGCATGTTTTTGTCAGAAACCAGGATTTTCTAAGATACCCCGAGTCCAAAGAGCATGGGTGGGCCTTACTGGCTTCTGCCATAAGAAAAGCTCCACTATTTTTTAAAATTCTTAATCTTCATTGTTGAAAGTATTACATAGGTCCTCCTTTCCCCTCATTAACCTCTTCCTGCCCGCTCTCGTCACCCCCACCCCCGCCCTCACCTCCCCCTTGTCTGTGCCCACGGGTGATGCATAGATGTAGACAAGCTCCCTGGTTGATCTCTTCCCACCCACCCTCTCCTGCCTTCCCTCTGAGGTTCAACAGTCTGATCGATGCTTCTCTGTTCTTCATCTTTGACTGGCATTTTCCCCAGTATCTCCCAGGATTATTTCTTCCATGACCAGGGCCATGCCAGCATTTAGAACTGCAGGTCCTATACCCTTTCCTGTGCCTCTATCTCTTCTGTGCTAAGCATATGGAGCAGCTTCAAGGACCACGGCAGATGTGTCCATTTGTGAGGTAGCTGAGGCACTGGCGGGGGAAGGCCTCGCCCGCGGGCCCCGGGCCGGGCACGGTGAAGTTCAGCTCCTCGGCCGGGCTCCAGCCGCAGCGCTGGCTCAGCTGGGCCACGCCCGGGCTCCGGCAGCGGTGCTCAGGGGTGAGGCCCAGGAAGACGATGCCCACGTAGATGGGGGGGAACGAGGCCGAGAGCAGAGCGAGGAGGAGGAACGTTTGCTTCTGGAAGAAGTTGAATTCCCCAACGTGCGCGAGCACCTCGTCCACCGTGGGCATCGTGGCTGTGGGCAGGAGGGG